CAATTTGCTGCAATTGACAGTAGAATACAAGTAACAAATGGATAGAAAAAGACTGATTGCAAAATAGACAGAGGTGTATGGGCGGAGAGAGAATTTAAAAATTAGGGTTAGTCGAAATACTAAAGCTTAAGAAGACATCAAAGAGTGAATACATCAGCGCCATTGAGACCAATTTTCAGTCATGCCTAACCACTGATTCCTATGGTCTTCGGGATTCTTAGCCAGACAGTCTACATCTCCCTATAGGGCTAAGACCAGCAGTAAGAGACTTTATAGACTGATACGACATCTTGCTTTTGCTATCTTGAGCCCTCTTCTGACCTAATCCAACCTCTACTAGCACTTTATATCGAGGAAGGTGGTGAGAGGTCATCTGTAGTACATGCACAAGGCACCTTAGTCGGTAATGGTTCAAAACTTCGACATGAACAGTAGCTCCTGTGCCTCGTTCTTATCTTGGTTCTAATAGTTAGACCGCATTTTTTCTTTGTTTCACCTTACTTTATCCTTCACTTTCAATAAGTTTGTGAGTTTTAATTAGTCTTTTCATCTATTTCTTCGTCTTTCCTTTTACAACCTCGTATCCTGACTTACTGAAGTTAGCTCTGACGTCCTAAACCACTAGGCAGCATTTTCAGGCACCATTTTTTTTACTGACTAATGTGCCAACGTCCGCTAAGCAAAAAATGAACAGTTATAGTAATGGCACACTGTAAGTTTCTTACAATACCGTTTTCTCTTGAAATATAATAAAGTAATTGAATGAATATTAGCCGGTTAAAAAGTGTACACAAGTCAAGAATGATACAGATACCTGAAATAAGAAAAGAGAAGTGACAAGAAAGTTGAACCACTACTTCTACGATAGAGCTTGACGAATAAATAAATTTGCGGTTTCAAATACTCTAGAATTTGTAATGCGACCACTGATAAAATTACTACGAAGTTCATTGATATGATTATGAGCAATAATTCATGCTCGAAACGTTATCAAGTAAATAATACTAGATCACTGTGTGTTATAAATCAAATAAACAAATCTAATATGGAATTATTTATAAATTTCATTCACTACGAACCCTGTGTACCGGTCTCCAGATTTCAATATAATTTAAAGGGTTTAATTAAATTAACTAATTAGATCTTTAAAAAATCAGAGGGCTATAAAGGAGTAAATTTTTTTAGCTGAAAATGGAATCATCAGAAGTAGTCACTTGTATATGAAAATAATGTTTAAATGTTAGTCCAGCGAACACGATATGACAGTCGTGAATAAAGGTGAGTTAATTAACTTTATCCGAATATAACAACTTTAGAATACAAAGTTTTATTTAGATTACTGTTACTTTTACCAATAACATAAAAAGCTACATATAAGCAAAATATTTGACATAAGCAGCTCAACCTTACATTTTTCTGAAGTTTTTTTTTAACTATAATTGTGTTTTCTACAATGATAATGATGGCTTCAACATTCAGTCATTCGAATGTACGAATGCACTGTCTCTAAATATCGACCTCTATATATAAATATTTTTCAACTGTCTGTCTTACTTAAATCTTGAAATATTGATTCACGTCTATGACTGTTTTTGTCAACACATAAAGCAAGATGTACAGATTAACCACTATGTAAAATCGAATGTTTTGGCAATTGTTTAACTTATGTTAAAGGTATCTTTAAACCCTTATGACGTATCGAAGTTTTTTAAGCTTAATAAGTTCATGAAAAAGAAGTTAGCTGATAAACTGATTATTGTTTGAACTAATTCTCACTTCACCTTAAGTATGCATTGATGAGGAGTCCCAAATTAGTACAAAGTAGGTGTTCATTGCTTCCGGGTTTACTATTGTTGTGTAGCTGATGTTAACCCTTGACTGAAACTACCTTGAAACTAGCCACAAACCCCGACTGAATTTTGATCCAGATACATGAAGTAGGTTACTAACAACTCTATTAGGTGTCGATAGACATTTAAATCTGTTTACTGGACTACATATAAGTTACAGTAGTCTGTTGCATATGGCAACAAGTAAAATCAGAAAGTGAAAACTATTATGAATAAAAAAGATTTGTCAAAGTATAATACAAAATATACAAGGATTATTCAATCTAGGCAAGGTATCGCACAACATGACAAGAGACTGGGTGTAGTCGGAAAGAGTATAGAAATAGAAATGAACAGAATTCACGTACGAATCAGTCAGAATGATATAGAGGAGTGATTTCAAAGCAAACAAATATGAATATGTACGATAAATACTATCCGAAAGGTTATCATTTAAATAACACTTTTATTGTGTGATAAGTCAAACAAACAAACTAAAATGTAATTCGTTTTGTGTACATAGCTGAAGAATTTTTGAGTGAATGGCTAGGACCTTAACAGTGCAAAGAATATGGAAACCTATGGCCTTCAGAATTCTTTTTCCTTATAAATAATTTTTAAAGTGAAGTCGCCCAAAATATAATGATGGATGTCTATAATATGTTCGATGAAAATCATCTTGAGGAATCCATTGTCACCTTTTTGCAACCATTCAGGATAGTGTTTCTGTAATGTTTAGGACAAAATTTGCAATGAGTGACCTACATAACTTCTCTACAAGAGCAGATGAAGCACTATATACACTTAAAATTAGTCATATCAAAAAGTTTGTTGAGTTGTTTGGAAATACAGATCAATATGTCAGTTTTTATCTTGACCTTGATCCAAAGAATACTCTTTAAAGAATTATTTATATCCTTTCGTTTAAAGTATCAATCAATGTATCACTCTGAAGTCTAGATGCATGCACAGTATCTTTTTCAACGCAAATATTATCTCTTTGTGACGTTTGTGCATTGAATTTTGTTGGTAAAACTTAAGGAATACCTATTTTCAGTAGAAATTTTGCTCAGAAAGGAAATTTTTTCCTGTAACACTTGTGAAATGCATATTTTTTGGAAGCTACTGGCAACAAACAATCAGATTTCCCTAACGACTTAAATTAACTAACTGTAAAAGACTGCCGATCAGCCATTTCATATAAGCTTTCTGTAAACTGGTCATCTCAGAGTCCCATCAGAGTAGCTTTGCAAATAAATCACGAAAAACTTTTTCATCGTTGATTAACTTGTTCTTTTTTCACTTTTCACCTAGTAGTATGGTGCTACAGGGTAAACACTCGTTTACACTACTGTTAAGGTGGTGATAGTGATCTCTTGACGGCAATTTTTTAAAGTAATATCGATGAAGTAGCTATCCGACACTTTGTTTTGTTCTAATTAATGTTAAAAGAGGTTGATGTTGAAGGTAAGCGAGGATAGCAATAAAATGTCCTCCAGAAGACTTTGTATCACCTATCTCATCAGGCTTTTTCCTATCCCACCTGTCTTTATTCGGACATTTCTGCAAATATTTTATGTACCAGAAATACATTTCATTCCAGGCCGATTCACTTTATTTGCATTGAATATTGACAAACATGATAAATTACAACTTTTCAAATCCTGTGCCATTTGTCTTCTGGTTGTTGTTGTATGCACTGAAAGCATTTTTCGAGAAATAGGACTTATTCCGTCCTTGTCAAACCGAATAAATATACCTCCGTATATCAGTTTTTAATTTGGAAACAACTATTACTTGGCAGATGCGATCAGTAATATACTCAAACCCCCTCATATAGCCTAATCTGATTGTCCATGTCTTCGCAGACTCACGTTATATTTTCTTTCGGCCACCATCAAAACATGTATAACCTAAGCCTGCCATGTATGTAACTAATCAATAAGGTAAATTTCGGTTCAGCATTCATAACACCTGACTCAGCAATCTTAACCAGTGCAAGTTTATATTTTCACTCACCCGTCCTCTTGTTGCTTAAAACGCTGTGTTCAAACTTCTAAATTTCTGACTCGATAGTTTCATAACATATAATCGAAACTTTCATATACTTCACTGTCTTACTCTTAATCAGTTAAAACCAATTCTGGAGCATCGTTTAACATCCAACAGGTGCGAACGTATCTAAAATGCTTACTACACTAAACTAATATGACTCAATGCATCTTTTCTCAGTTGTCATAAGAGTGAATCGAAAAGCCGTTTTTCGTAATCGATAAATCTTAACATAAATGATAAATCAGATACATTTGGTTTTTTTAAGCTATACTGTTAATCAAAAGGGGAAACGATAAAACATATAGCTTTGGTTCGGAAGGCATTCACAGTTTAATATGGCTATCTTTAACAAATATGGATATGCAGGCAAATTATTCAAACAGATTCATCACGGTGTTCAATACGGTCGCAGGTTAGAAGCTCACTCCACTTACTTGGCCCGTGCCAACCAGACAGATTCATAAGCTCTCATAAAACAAGTGTTGCTCACAACGTAGTACATAGAAATGATGGTGATGTGATAAATATCAACATGAACATTCATCGGGTTGGGATTTACTAACATTGAACAACACAATTCATATAAATCATGTCTTATAATTGCTTTTTCGAAAGTACTGAAGTGCTCAAATTTTGCAGTTTTATCGCGTCCTTCATGCTAACTTAATTGAATAATTTGGTTTTATAGTGGGATAAGATGGCTTTATCATATTATAGTTAGTAACTGATAAGTATAAAGGCTAAACTTTGTGCCCATCACTTTTCAAAAAAGTACATCAGTATTCTTAAAGGGTAAAGAGATATAACATCTTAGCGGTTTGAGCTAGCTTTACTTGACATAACCGCAAAAACAATCCTTTAAGCTGTTTAGGCTTTATTTAATCACCGATAATTCATGTTTTGAAGATAGAGTCACTCAGTTAACCAACTTTATTCCATATAATTTAATTAGAAAACGTGAAACATTTTGTTAGCATACAATTTCATTTGCGGTAACTGCTACCTGAATTATTACATATGACATACAATGTATATCTTTCAAAGTTCTTTATTCAGAAGTACTGTGCTTTTTCTGTTAATATATTTTATTTGAACTAAGTTTGCAAAGTCTTCACGTTAAACAAGGTCTGGCTTTGCATACATTGGTAGTAAATTATAGTTGTGTGTAATAAATTTGATAAAACGTTGTTCAACTTCCTTCTTATATTTGTTATCATATAATAACTTCAGTTCTTGAAAATCATTCACTGGTACCTGTAAAGAATTCATAACGTAAAATAAGTTAAATTAGTTTGTTTGAAGTTATGCAGATTTATATCGGCAATACATTTTACTTCAAAACGCTCAGAAAACGAGAGATTTTAGATGAACAAAAAATAATTAGCCCTTATAAAGTAAAAGCTCAGAAAGGTATGTAGTCCTAAAGCTGGATGTTTCGTGTTTCTTCAGGTAACGTGATAAGTGGTTATGAGGGAAGTTTTTAAATTGCTTATATTAATTTATTTCATTCATTTAAAAAGATGGAAGTTTAACTAGGCAGGTTGAATAACGCAGAACCTTGTACGAAAAAATACAGGTGTCATGTTTTACAAATAAAGTTTTCCACTGCATATAAAAGATGGGCCTATAATTTGGCTAAATGATACTGAAGTAAAGCAGCAGTGAAGTACTCGTATAGTATCTCTTGCTTTTCAGTTTCTTTTCACGTTTGAAATCACTTTTACTCTACAACCTTATTCTAGAGAAAATGGCTTCTGTCATCATTCTTTCACATTATTTCAGTGAAACAGTTTCATTTTCTAACAAACTCAGCAATGACACTCTATTTTCAGATATTTAACCGAGATTGCAGTATTTCATATTGTTTGTTAAGCAGTGTGAAGTCATTTAGTAATAGGATATAAAATATATATTCTATTAATCAGCTTTAAACAGGAACGAAACCTGCTATCAGATATCAGATGATTCTCTATAATTAAGTTCTGGTGACAACGACACGTCGAATTTGCACCTCAATGATCTTACGAACAGGATTATCTTTTCTATGTATTGTGTGTGTATATCAACTCCCTCAGTTAAGTGACCAAAAATCTTTTGCTTCAAATCCAAATGTATGTCCAAAAATTGTTTCTACTCTGTACTCAAACATTTCTTCAAAATGATAGTCAAAAAGGATAATTCATCAGGAAAATATTTTCAGGTGAACAAATTTATACTAGTGATAGATTATTTCTAGCTGAGAAGTCGAGAATCTGTGTTTCATCATAGTTTCTGGTGGTCCATCAATTACATTTAATCTATGACGGAAAACTACAAACAGTAACATCAAATGAACTTGAAGTTCATGCTATGAGTCCGCATTCTTGGAAGATTATATTTAATTACTGTCATATCACCAGACTACATGATTAATCAAACGAAATAAGCTTCTATGTCTTTTGAGTACTTCTATGAATACGTATATGTAACATATTTGATTAACATAGCTACGGGGTGAGAAGTATTTACGCCCATTAAAAAAGACAATGACTGAATGAAAAGTGTGAAACCAAGCTTTCTCACTTCTATCGATTACCACACACCAGAAATATATTCGCCGATAAAGCCGTAGTTTACAAATTTCGCAAAAAGCCTTTCAGAAGGTATTCAGCTAAATAAAATATAGCCGAGCAAATCAAATAATTACATTATTTGGCAAATTAAAGTAGATTCTTATTGCCTAGTGACATCTTCAATTAGAATTAAGTACTGAAAATTAAGACGTTATGGGAGATTGCTAGAACATTTTTGAATTTTGCCTTAACCTATCGGTTGTTTAGATAAACATATGTTAGGTGTTTCGCTTCTGCATTGTTCGTAGTATTTAGGACTTATTAAGCTTCTGAATGTAGTAGGCTTTCCAGTTTATATATTTTCATGAGTATGCTTCAAATGAGTACACGTATTTTAGATACAAGTATTAAGATAGTACTGCGCGTACAAGCAAGGTATATTCCTAGATGGATTCCAATAGATGAATTGCATTTTTATGCCTTAGACATAGCAAACTCAACATCTTGCTTGTATGAAACCTATTTCCGAGGGATGTTTAACTTGTATTACTTGTTTCTTATTATCACTTATTGGCCGATTACTTTCTGTTGTTGAAGTTGATTACATCAGTGTTAAATAAGTCGACATCTGTATTTAGAATATCATTACAAATAAATTTGTAACTAAATTAATCAAGATATACTGCTTCAAGATACCAAATTTCTTCAGAAGAACACTTTTTTAAAGGTACTTTTCAAAATTTTGTAATATGTCTAGTGTTCCAGTTACTGAGGAACTTCATCAACGCAGCGTTCGAATGGGGAAGAAACGGTGCATTATTACGCATTACATTGTTATTCAGATATCTGTAATGACTAGGGACTGACAACTTTTTAGAGTAACATTTCGCAGTCATTTTACGTCTCATTTACTGCGATACTTTGCCATTTCACTACTTTACTTAGTTTCACTTTGAATTTCAAATAAATAGTGTAAATACCTATTGGTTATATATTTCTGGACATTGAAAGACTGACGGATGGCATTGTTTGCCGCTTCGAGACTAAATCATGTCTTTAAGTCAGTTATACGACGTACAAACATAAGAAAACTAACCTTCTACTAACTAATTAGACAGTATTCAGATTCAAATAGTATGGATAAGGCGATCTGGGCGTTGATTTTAATAAGTGGCCTATTTGTAACTATGGCAGTAAGATCGTTTCTCACTGACGTTTGTGGATAGACACTAAATATATGTTTGGAATTATTTTTGGCTACTATAGTTTAATGGTAGTTTAGGTATGAGTCTAGAAATGAAGAACTAAGCATAACAAAACAAGTTGTCGCAAAGATTTAGATACACCTTGTTTTGAATTCCAGTTAACAGGGATAGAGATCGGTCAATCCGTATCATCTGTTTCCGTTAAACTAAAAAAAGTAAACATTATAACTTTATTCACTTTAAGTAGCAGCCATATTGAGCAATTCAGTCAGATAACTGATAGTAGGGACACCTGCCACTGGTCCAATGTTAAAATTAGAATTAGCAGTCGCAGTCATCACATGAGGCATATTCAAGCCTAAAACTAGTCAACCTAGGGTATACTTTCAGAATATGTGTGAGCATACAGGGTAGGTAGGAAAGATTATCAGAACAGGCAGGGGAATGTAAATCAATGATTACACTGCTACTACTTTCAATTAATGTGCACAGAGGAGTTGAAAGTCTGATTAATGGCTTCCTTTACATTTTACTAGGGCTGACCAAGTGTTTGTCGGATATTCGTAGCTAGTTAAATCCGGGGTTAGATCATATCAATATAGACAACCTCTTCCTGGTAATGCAGTTTAGTAGCCACCTATATGTTTGTGTACCAAACTTCGAATCCCAAAAATATGTTCAAGCTAAATTAGATTGAGTGGACCTTTACTTTTGGCTTACTCATTAGGGGTCAGATATGTAAATTATTAGGCTTTCAGTGGTTGGTTCACTAGATTATCGCAAATAATTTGTGCTAATTTTGAGAAATACATCTCGCTGTGTATAAATCACCCAACTGCATCTAAATTACTGTGATATTCTTTATTGTTTAAGTGCTATATGTGACGGTCTTCCAAGCGTAACAAATGAAATGATTGTATAAAGAAAGAAAGGAATGTGAAAAAAGAATTTTTTTATTTTTCCAATAGATACCTCATCTTTTTCTGCAATGATTGATTCTACTTTTGTTGCTAACGATTCACTGATTGTAAGCTATTAAATGTAAAAATAAGAATTATTTAATTCAACAAACCTTTCAATACATTTGAATACAATATCTCAATGATATCTTTATACCTTATAATAAGCAGACATGAACAAATGTTGAACCTTCAGTTAGAAAACTTTTAAAATGTCCAAAATTGGAAAATATAAAATATATGAAATGCAGTAAAAAAAAGAGTTAGTAGAATATAGTCTTACTACAACCAGTGTAGCTTATGAGGTCTGTGATTTCTCAGTATTGAACAGTAAGATTCAGACTTAATGTGTGTTACGGGATACAGTGATAGAAACACTGTGACTCTGTGGTTTCTCCTTGCTTTTGTGAGTCTTTTGAATCAATTTCCTCGTTATAAACTTCAGGAAGAAGTTTTCGTAATCTTATACAGGTATTACAGCAGTAGATGCAGATGATCTAAGCGTAACTGGATGTTCTGGAAATCTTTATGCTCGCCTTCATGTTTTAGTTGACTACGATGGAACACGTAAAGTATAGCAAACCTCAGTAGCAGTCCGTTCACTTGAAAGTGTGTTTTGTAACCGCTGTTTTTAGGAAGGATGACCGATATTTCGTTGTGATTATATCAGTAGACAAAACTGAAATTTTACCACATCGTTTTATGGGAACTAAAAAAATATAAACTTATTTTCTATAATCTCACGTTGACAACAAACCTATAAATGGGACATTTAGTTAAATTCAGCAATCTATTTAGGTAAATTGAAATGTTAAACACTGAAAACATACGGAATGTACAATCTGTATAAACAATACACTGTAATCAATCTTCGTAATTTATTTAATTCATATCTAAAAACTTTCTCACCGAACAAGCACTTGTTAACCTGCGTATTTCAGACTTAAACTCTGAAAACCGATCATGATAAACTGCCAATGTCCATATATCATCCAAATAACTAGAATAACAGAAAAAGAAATTTATTTTTTAAATCTAAGCAATCAATCACATGCTACTTTGCTGGAAAAAATGTTAGTAGTTTGGAGACCCAAAATACTGTCTGAACTATTAGGAATATATTCAAAGTAAAAACCAGAAAATAAGGATAATAAACTATGTTCTTTTCTACAAGCAGTTACAATTATTAATATCCACAACATAATTATGATGAGTGTACCGGAAAGAGCTGAGTGCTTAGTTTGATTTAGACATCATAGGAATACACTTCAGTATTATCCCTGTGTGTTGAGAAAAACAAAATTCTAATTTTAATTCGAAACAAAAATGTATACTCAAAAGGTACATTAAATATTTTTTGTGTTGCTCATTAGTGAGTTGGGTTGTTCTTTGGTTAAGACTGTATAGTCATCAAAAATTCTTATGTTTTTATGATAATCTTTCACTTGAAAATGTAGGATAGTCAAAATATGTAGGTTGTAGAATATGTATACACATTGTTTGCTCTAGGAAAATGCTTGTTTACTGATGCAAAATCAGTATATCATTGTTATCAAAGCTTCAATTAGACAAGGTCATGCTGATTAGTTTCGTCCGATTAATGTTTCCCAAAAAGTTGGTAAGTTTAATCTGTCTCTTCAGTAATAGTATTTTATGTCGTTAAAATATTTGGAGCTTCTAAGGTCCATCTTTCTTTATGTATCTGGAACACCTTTTTCAAAATGTCTATATTTCGATGGCGTGCATAGCTATTCCCAAACGTTGTTCTAAACTTTTTATCTCATCTTGTTTACTGGATGGACGTTTTACACACAACCGGCGTTCACTCAAACTAAATCATATGTTTATAACTTTCTCCAATATAACTAGCCTTTCGTGCTAGGCACTGAATCTTCGAGTCACAAAGCCTTGGGTAATCCAGCATGTGGATTTTGACTAAAAAGCACACTGGGTTCCTGAATCTTATTTTGTTGAAGCCTTGGACATATGTTAAATGAAATTTCATGCAGTTTCTGTATTCCAAATTAATGACCACCTTCAATACTTTAAATTTCATTAATTATTTATCCTATCGACAATCCAAAATGACTGGAAAAATCAGTGTAGATCTTTGCCACTGGGGTAGAATGCAATTCCATAATAGATTTGTTTATCGATATAGCACACAGTGATACAGTTATATGGAAAAATAGTATCAATCAAAAATATCATACTGTATTACTGTTTGCTGTATCAAATACACAAATCGAATATGGAATGACTAGGAACGTTACGAAAGTTTTCGTGAGGCATATTTGCTGAGCTGATTTTAGTAATGGGAGTAGATAATGATAATTATTTATTATTATTTAGTTTCAACGTACTTGTACCACAACCTCACTTGGTTAACTGGTTCACTAGTTACTAGCCGGCCCTAAGCCCGGGTAAAGAGGGAAGGTTGGGCATACGGCTATCGACCCTACCTCGTAAAACAAATCTAACCGCTAAAGAAACTTCAAAGCACAAACGATATATAAAAATCAAAGCAATATTATTTCTCCCTGGAATCGGAGAGGCCAAATGACGCTGGTTGGTGAAAGCCTTCGGGAAGCCAATTAGCCGATATGTCTTCTCTCCCTAGATGAAAGCGAAAGTAAACGTGGGGACATGGAATGTCTGCACCATGTTTGAACCTAGCAAGGCAGCCCAGATTGCAAACGAGATGAGAAGGTATCACATTGAAGTGCTAGGAATCTGCAAAAGCAGGTGGAATGGAAATGGACTCTCCAAACTGTCAACTGGAGAATCAATAATCTACTCCGATATTGTCACCCAGACGACAACCACAAGCACACTGATTTATGCAGTGACTATCATGAGGCCCCCAAGAGCATCGAAGGCTCTCATGCAATGGAAACCAATCTCCTCCTGCAGGATCATGACAGCAAGGTTCAACTCAAAAGGAAGGAAGGTCACAATCATACAATGCTAGGCTGTGCACCTACAAATAATGCAGATTAAGAGAAGAAGGAGGAATTCTACAGACAACTGCAATCAACACTGGACAAGACACCACTCAAGTTGGCGACATCAAAATTCTAATGGGTTGCGTGACATGAATGCCAAGCTCGGAGCGAACAACACAGATAGAGAACTAACCATGGGTCGAGAAGCACCCGGTGAGGTGATGAACTAGAATGGAGAATTGTTTGCAAAATTCTGTGCATTCAACGATTTGGTGATTGGAGTCAGTGTGTTCATGCACAAGGACATCCACAAAGCGAGCGACATGGATTTCACCAGACACCAGACACACTAAACATCAGATCGACTTTATCTCAATCTCAAGAAAATGGAGACGCATCTACTTGACACAAGGTCAAGAAGGGGAGCAGATGTAGGCTCAGACCACTCACCATCTAGTGCAAGGAACCTGCCTTCGAAATCAAGTTAAAAGCCTTCAAGGAAGTTGGTGATAGACCGCAGTTAAAGCATAGCACTCTGGAACTGAAGGACGAAACTACAAAGGAACACTTCACAGCAGCCATCATGACAAATTTGGAGATATTGAGTAACATCCCTGAAGAAACCTGTGTGGAAGTCTTTGAAAGAGATGTGGAAAGAAACCTGCACAACCGTATTAGGAAGGAAGAAGAAAGAAGATAAGGAATGGATCTCGATGGACACATGGAAGCTGATAGGGGAGGGAGGGAAGATGGTGAAGCAGAAGATGAATCAGTGCAAGGATGAACGACGAGAAGAGGGACTGAGTACAATGTATAAAACACTGGACAAAGAAGTGAAGAGGAGTGCGCGGAAAGATAAAAGACACTTCTACAACACACTGGCAAGTGAAGCAGAACAGGCTGCTGGTAGGAGAGACGGAGACCTGACAACATGATATCAAATAACCAGTTTACTGTCTGGGAGGGAAGAGATCAACTCAGATGAGACTAGTGAAAGATAGTGAAGGAAGCTCAATTACCAAATAGGAGAAACAAAGGAAACGACGGACTGACCACTTGAAAAAGCTCTTGAATCGACCACCACCTGCAGCCACTGAACTACAAGTGAACATAAATCCCCTAACAAAAGTCGAAGTCCTGAGTGCCATAAAGCTACTGAAATGTGGGAAAGCAGCAGGACCTGATGGAATCCCGCCAGAAGCACTGTGAATAGACGCAGAGACAACAGCGGACATGCTCATACCACTATTGCAGAAGGTGTGGAAGGAAGGTAAGGTACCTGGCGATTGGAAGAAGGGTTACCTTGTCAAACTCCTGAAGAAAGGAGACCTCAGTGTTTGCAAGAACTGGAGCAGGATTACGCTCCTGTCCACTCAGTGCAAGCAAAATATTAAGCCACATCATCTTGGAGAGACTAAAGGATGCACTGGATTCAAAACTTCCACCCGAAGAGGCTGGCTGGATTCAGGAAATACAAATCATGTGCCGACCAGATTGCGACGGTTTGCATCATCATAGAACAGAGTATAGAATGGCAGTCAACCCTCTACCTCAACTTTATCGACTTTGAGAAGGCCTTTGACAGCATCGACCTAGAGGTAATTTGGAAACTGCTTCAATACTAGAGAATACCGCAAACCTTTATCCGCCTCACTCAACTACTTTATGAAGATGCTACATGCCGAGTACTTCACAATGGGAAGCTCAGTGATGCTTTTGAAGTGAAGACAGGAGTGAAACAAGGTTGCCTACTATCACCCATGATATTCCTGATTGTGGTCGACTGGAGCATGCAGCAAACAGTGGGGAGCGAGAAGATGGGGATACGCTGGACCGCGGAAAAGAACCTAGAAGACTTGGATTTCGCCAATGACTTGTGTCTGATGTCACACAAACTTGAAGATCTCCAGGCTAAAACTAACAAGTTGTCAGAAGAGGCAGGGCACCGAAAACGGGATTTCAAGTGAATATAGAGAAGACAGAGGTGATGAAGATGCTGAAGCAACAACAACAGCAACAACAAGCTTCAGTCACCATCAACGGGAGAAACTTAAAGGAAGTAACCTTTTTCACCTATCTAGGAAGCGCTGTTTCAACTACAGGTGATGGCACAGACGAGGATGTCAAAGTCAGAATCGGAAAAGCAAGATAGGCATTCATTAGCCTGAAACCAGTGTGGAGATCTGTACTCAACTCAGCATGCGGAACAAGATCCGGATCTTCAACACCAACGTCAAGTCAGTGCTTCCGTATGGTTCAGAGACTTGGCACGTTACGAAAGGGATTTCCAACAAACTACAGACAGTCACCAACAACTGCTAACACTCGCTTCTGAAGATCAGATGGATTGCCAGAAAGAATAAACAACTAGAAGCTCTGGGAACGAACCAACCAAGAATTTATCGCCCAGCAAATATGCACTGGAAGGAAGTGGAGATGGATTGGGCATACACTGAGAAGGCCGACTGGCGACGTCACGCGCCAGGCCAGTCCATCGATTGGAACCCAGATGGGAAGCGACGAGTTGGGCGTCCGAGGTGAGGTGACATGGACGAGATCCTGCGAGGAGGAAATGAGAGCTTGTGGGCTGTTGTGGAGCCAGGTTCAAAAGATTTCAGAGAACAGAGTTCACTGGAGATGTACTACTGAAGCCCTATGTTCCATTAGGAACCCAAGGGACTAATAATAAAAATAATAACTTATACGACAAGATGGGTATGATTCATTTTAGTGAGAAAAAAAGACAAGGAATACTGAAATGTTCAAGATCTTTCAATTAAATGTTGGAAATAAAGCAGATGACATAGCACATTTTGACAGTTCTCTGGCAGTCAGAAAAATGAATCTACAGTTTATTGCTAAGCTTTAAGTAGTCTTTGTGAAAATAAACAATTCTAAAAGCATCTGGTTCCTACTGTTATTACTATGATTTCATCGCAGTTGGAGTTGATGACTCGATAATTAAGCATTTGGTTGCTAATTTTTTTGATAAGGACCTTCTACTTAAGCTGTAAGGAAAATCTGGAAACAGTCAACTAGTCCTCCCTGCCACTAAAATGACAAGTCCAAGATTATGATTACATTTACATCATGACTAAATTACTGAAATTCACTCTTCATACCTACTATACAGGTTTTGCTGTCATTCCTATTCGATTGACGTCGAAACAACTCAAAACATTAAGGATTTCAGTCAGCGATGATGCTATTTTACTCTCCTATCATTTGGCGCGTCAAATACACTTCAGTGATTACTCCCACTATTGCTTAGCCTAATCTACTGTATAAACTCGGAAAGAAGTAAAACTAAATGAACTTTAAAAACGTATTCACGACGGAATGATATTATCTGGAAAGCTTTTTGAAACCTAGGAGCAGTGAACAGCTGCCACGTCCTAGGATAGGACTCAGGTGTGTACAACCACTACCTTGTCGTGGATTCAACCTAGAACCTCCAGGTCTCTTTGCAGCCCATTGCCGTTTAGCCACTGGGTTGGAATCCGGTGAACCGCATTTTCTCTATTTTGTCAACTCGCGACAAAGCATGACCATCATCTAATGTTAAAAGACAGCATTTGTACTTATATCTGGCTTAAGTAACCCCATTAAACCTCTGGGAAATGCACCTTAAGTAATGTCACTAATGACCACTGAACAGTATACCTTCCGTAAATGAAATATGCTCGCCTTTGAAAGAGCATGTATGATAAAACAATATGTCTTCAGTAAAGTCACACCATTATCATGAGGAAATTTAGCATCAGTAGTTTACTACTGAAAAAATAATATGAAACTTCGTCCAACCTTAGTTAAGGACTACAATGTAGTACGTGTTAACAACGGCAACTAAGAGTGAACTAGGAACGTTGGGGTTCAGCCGAGAATAAGTTATCATCCGAACAACAGCATAGAATCCAGCACTTAACACTTTATCAACTTCAGTAAAATTTCAATGTGATATATACTTAGTGTTGTCAACATACTTCTGTGATTCTTTGAAAGTAAGATAATCTAATAATTCATGGTTTTTTCATGACAGAAAATCGCTTTGCAAAAAGGCTTTTGTTAAGTATTAGGATGTCATTCACACTAGTACTTGGCGAGGTATCACTTAATTTGGAAGTATTATATAACATGAAGTGGTATTGATAAGAGCAGTAGTGAAATGAGAAACAAATGAAATTCAAGTTGTTACATCCTATACATTTGTGAGCTAACAAAACTGAGAATTCGTACACTAGGACTAAAATCGTATCCATGACTACCTTGTTTTATTGGTTTTTCAGTGAAAACCTCTTAGTGTATTGAAAACTGTTTTTGAAGTTGATTTGAGCATCCCACTGATAAACCCATTCAAAAGACACTAACTGAGGTGCTTATATCTAAGGTGTATAGAAACACATCGACCTTGGAAAAATTTATTCACATTATAAAATTATTTGAAGGAATAATAAATTTGTATAATTGAAAAGCAAAGCAAAATGTTTCCATACACCAATCACTTGCAGTTAATTAATACACTTACGCATAGAAATCACTGATTAAACCTTCATCGAATCTAGATACTAGGTGTTTTAAAAGATATTCATGTACATTGTAAAGTCGAATATAATTTTCTGCTGGGAATTCCTGTTTAAACAAAATGAAACAAAATACAGGGAAATAGGCATTTACATCACCGCATATTTACGTATATATTATTAAAGAGAGAGAGGAAACTGCGAAACTGAGGAATTCTAACATCCTTGAGGAACTCAGTTACCTTAATTTGTCTACAGTACCTTCTAAAAAAAGCCCAAATTTTAAATCTTTGAACCACAAAATTTAATTCATAGTGTTAGCAGTCCACATTAAATCATAAAAAAGAAAAACGGTTATCTAGAAAATCCCCTTCTCAGATCCAGGATGGAAAAGCTGGCTGTTAACTTTGCATATCAGACTAATAGATTTTAAAGCATACTTTAATTGTTAAACCGCAATTTACAAATTATGAGAAACATTTGACTGTAACTCTGGAATCGATAAAAGTATTGTTATGTATTACTCATAAAAGTTGTGAATTATAAAAAATGATGAAAACAAAACCCTTTAAAAAGTCTCGACCTGTCAAAAATCATTGAATGACTAGCTTGCTTCTTATTGATCGTTTCAGGCTAGGAATAATGCAAAACAACCAAAGGTGATTCGGTTCACATGAAGACTACAAAAGATACAGTTACAAGATGAAAGACAGAGAACTATGAAAGAAGAATATAACCAGAAGTAATGGAAATTCATAGGCTGAGAGAAAGGTTAAAACCATTCTGAATTATACCACATAAAATATTTATTCACCGAATTCGGTTATCGTAAAGATCCCGACTTGGAAGTCAGTATCTTCTCACACAGCTGTGACCAACAGTCCCAGATTTCATGGACTGACATGACTAGTCGCTCTGGTTACTTTACACTTTCTTTCGGCAGAAACTTTTTCAGTGAACATTTTTTCAGGACCGAAGACAACTAGGAGTTTTTAGTGCATGTATGAGTCATCTGAGTCAATGAAGGCTCACACATTCACAAACTGTCTCTCTCCAGCAACTTTAGGCTGTATCCCTGACTACTTCACTATCCAAGTTGTTATTCAACTACATGTGGTTAAGGTAAGGTAACCTCCAATCTCCTTTACTCCATCTTTGTTGGCTGTTTCACAGTCATGTAGTAAATTAGAGTGATTCTCTGTGCAGTAAACTCAAACCTCAGTGCTCAAATGACCAACTCACCAGTTCCACAAACGGCTCACTCCGGTGTAAGGAAATCGAGACTTTTGTATTTATGCAGAAATTTCCTCCATCATTGACGCATGACGGCTCATCGGACTTCTTAAGAAGGTAGAGTTCAGTGAGTTGAAGCTTTACATCTCCTTTCATAAAACAAGTCCTCTACGAAAAATGGGCTTTTAGGAGGTGATAGTCACATTTTAAGCTCTCTCAAGTTATTACTCAAGGTGTTCAGAAGTTAATTCATCCTCTCAATATCGTCACCCAACAAAACTATGCTTTCTACATACTCCACGTCTACTGAAGAGTATCCTGTAACTAAGTGTCTAAGAAGTTTGGCAGAGACAACGAGGATTCCAAATGAATGCTTATAGAAGAATAAGAATGGGGAGACAGTTTATACTTAACGGACACTAAATGACGTACATAACTCACCTGATACCACACTATAGGCCCTATTATGCTCACGAGTGTTTGGATAGAAAGTCTTCTATGCAGTCATGTGCATAACTGCCACTCGCTTCAATGAAAGATATGCCAAAATACCTTTAGGTTGAAGACCGCCTCCAGGTACAAAAATACAGCTGGAATTGAAATCCAGTAGGCATTCTTTGATCTCATCTTCTTATGGAAGGAGACGTTCTGATTGATATACTCATGATCAAGTCTCTTATATGCCTAGTGCTCTTGGATCAAAAGTGAAATGGTGGAAACAGAACATTTTTTGCTCATCCCACATTTTTCTCCGTAATTATCTTATATACATGAGATTTTAGGTGCAAACCAGATCTGTAAATGCTCAGCACTTCAAATTGTATCAAGTGAAAAACAGTCAAGTTAATTTCATTTATAACAAGTTAGACCATATTAAAGAAATCGATCACTGTTTTTGGTTGTGATGTCTACCACTAAAGGAAAAATAACAAGTCTAGGAAATATTGGTGTAGCTTACACCTCCACAAACATCTAACTTGTAATTTACTACCAAAAATAATTGATAAGTTAGAATAAATGAAGTCGTTTAACGGCTTATATAATTTCATTATCAAACAATATAAGAAAGGAAATTAAATGAAAGCAAAAGGATATTGATGGAGTTGTCTGCTCTGCGAAAACATTTAACCGAGGATAAGTAATATAAGGCAACGGAAGAGTAGAAAGGTAGGTAAATAAAGTGATACAAAGCATAAAGAGCTTTGTATGGGGAAAAAAAGGAAAAATCAAATAAAGGAACTGGGAAAGCTAATATTATGTTGGATTACAAATCAAATATCGCAAAAACTTCACCGCACTGCTTTGTAAACACTTCTGATAAACTTTATTTCTGTCCAATAAGCATCATTGTATGTCTTAATGTTTAAAAGTAACATTCATTTAACGGTTTAAGTACATCACTCATTTTCAAGCCTAAATGTACTCCTTGTGCATTCGTTATTGATTGTGTGTTACAGACACGGTAAACAGGCTCATAAATGTATGAATTATGCATCAGAAGAAATGTTAGTAGAAAGGTGTAACAAAATTCAGAGTCATTTGAGTTATAATCACAGTTTTACGACTAATTATGTGGGCCACTTCAAAGCATAAATCTACTATTGTGTCATTATATCTTAATCTAAAATTAATCCTCGTATATGTAATCCACTAACTAACAAAAACAATGAATTTCTGAGAATATCAGACGACAAGTCTACTGTCAGAACTGAGACCAGCAACTGATCCACTTTTACAAGAATGGCATACTTTGCAACAAGAACCTGATAATTGTAACACAGATGATTTTTTGAATATAACTTAGTAGCGACGAGGCAGTACATTCAGCCTGGATGAACAGCAATTATTCGACAAGATTTATTCGAAGAAGTAACATTCTGCATCCACTGAGGCCTAAAAACAGATTGTTGAATGTGACACCTGCAGCTTTTTGGAAATCCCTTACGAAAGTCTTAAATGTCTGAATAATCTGGAAGACCAACTCAGTCATTTTACTACAGTCATTATGGGGGTAATATTTCTCTCATTTTACTCCCCAAACACAATAATTCAAAGGATTCTAAACTGAGGGAAAAAAGGATCATAGGTTTGGAGGTGGTGAAGTTTACGATTCTCCAGACAAGCAATTACGAGGCTGTTTTGAGAAATGAGTAGACACTGAATATTTTTGCCACATATATTACTTTTGGCAGCTCACCCTTTCTAATTAGGGTTTGTCAATGGTCATTGGGATCACAACAAAGTCATTTCAGATAGGCCTGGAACTCTCTCAACATTTATAAAGTGTCGTAATATCGTCCTCACTGTGGACGCATCTAGTAACTTTCGCACTCTAGAAGACTTTCACCTTTAAGATACAGTTGATCTCCTTCGAACTGCTAATAAACATTGTTTTTTTTCAGTTTTGAGCATAGAATCCTGTTTGGAATCATTTTCACCACAAAAGAGCATGTTGTCACTGGTTCAAAAGCATATTTTACTTTGTAAACAGACTTTCGACTCACTCAGATAATTTTCAGGAACCTCATCCGTCAGAATTTCGCTTTTATGTTTCTTTGTATGAAGGACAATGGATCTGTATATCCAAGACCTAACTGATGATGAAGGCTAAAACGCAGATTTCTTGTGTCATAGCCATCATTTTTTCATGAGCTTTTTCCGTCGTTTCCTCTTGCCATGGTTGAATGAAATCTTGTGCACATTAACCATGTGCATTACATATACGAGGATGGCATGTTCTGTGTTCTTTCCTACAAGCCATGACATTTAGATTCCACTACAACCTTCCTTCTCATGTCTTTCTGTTCATATCGTCCATAAAAAGAACTGACTTGCTGTAGTAATGGAGGAATTCCATGATTCGGCTTGAAGAATCATAATGTATGCTAACCGCTTTTAGGATTTTTCTGACCCTAACTTCTTTGTTATGGTTAAAATCCTACTGAAAATATGGGCAGTTATAGACAGTTATGCTAATTTGCGGATGTCGCTGACCAAATCAGATTATTCTAAACACCAGACACATATTTCGCCTGTTTGAAGTTGACCTCATCAATAATCGCCCATAAAAATTCAGCTCATAAAACTAAATTGTTCCACTTAACTGAATCTGGCTAGTCGACTCAGGTGAATCAATATGACTTAAATAGGATAATCAATATGCAAAGGGTTTACAAATGGTACGGATCACATTGACACTTCTAACAGATGAGTAGTTTCAGTAGTGTCAACAAGGTTTAGTTTGGAAATCAACCAGCCAAAATCACAGTCTGATCTCTGACACATATAGATGTAAGAAATGTCAACGTGGACCGTGAAATTTGAGAATAATTTCTTAATATGGCTAACTTTGACATGTTTCATTTCACAATATAGTTCTGTCACGAAACAAAATAAATGTACTACATATAAGAACAAAAAGATTGAAGAAATATTGTTTTATCAAGTTTGTTAAGAACACATTATGGATGTATGCATATTCATCTATCTTGATTCAACCACTGACTAATGAATAGTATCAAATTATTTCGATGAATATTTGATGTACTGCAATTTTTTGAAGTATAACGGATTCCTCATCCTTAGTATGAGGAAGTTGTGACTAGCATTCAGTCAAAATATATTGAAGTTAAGATATGCTTGAGCCTGTAATAACCGATTTATCGACAATGAAATCTTCCACTTTATGCTTTCCAATTTACATTAAACAAGTTTAATGATTACACGTACAATGAGTGTCTCATAATTGTTGATAAACACTAAAAATCAAATTTATTTACCTTTGCAGATAGACAAGTTAGCCCTTGAATTAAATTATACTTATTGATATGAATTGAAAAGTATCGGTGTTCCTTAGAATCTTCTCCAGTTACTAATAAACGACCCTACAGTTAGGAATAGAGAAATATAGAAGACGTAAATAAACTATCATATCAAAACAAACGTAACATTTACTGATTTGTACATTACTATTGCAAAGGGACTTATTGGGATATCTTTAATTGGAAACTGAGAGATAAGTTCTTAGATAAAGTTGACTGACTTCTGAAGTTTCGTCAAGTTAAACTCTGGTGTTGTTCTAAGGATTATTAAATGGAAATACAGTAAAAATACATCGGTGGCAGATATATTTTAACAAATTTACTTATCTCCCTCTGAATATGTTTCCTTGAAATTCCATAATCGTACAAAACACACGCAGCATTTATTGTAGAGCTGGATATCCTGATAAACATTTTGACGACAAATGGCTTTTTTTTGAACTGATGTTCATATGCATAATATTGACATAACATGAGGTGCGTTGAAATGGCCCCAAAAAGTTATTGTTTAAAACACATCAGAGAGACAGAAGAAAACATTACATAACACGAATACAAATAATAGTGACAACACGAGCAGAAAGGAGTTCAAAGCCTCCTCATGTTACCCGATAAGGAAGGAACAACAGAAACTTTACGTAGGAGTCTTGAGAGTGCTGGGATTAGGATGGTATTCATACCTACAAACTCACTGAGAGATAAGCTATGTCGGCTTAAGGATCAACGGATCCAATTAAACAAAATAAACTGGTCCATCAAATTCCATGCAAGCACTGTAAAGTCGAATATATAATTAGAAGAAGACATATAAGCGAACAATATTGTTTTCATGTTGAGTGATGATTGAAGGTGAAATGGGAATTTGGACCGAGGTCGGAATCGAACCAGCTGCTGCCTGGTTTTTGACCCGATGCTCTACCAACTGAGCTAAGAGGTCCGTAGCTCAGTTCTAACACTACATCAAACCACGGCTGTCTCATATAGTCAGAATGATAATCAATACTGCTTTCAGTTAGCTCTCATCTGGCTTTACGCTAATATACATAAAATTTCCCATATATCAAACATAAAACCAGTCATGGTGGACTCTTTAGTCTGTGATAACTGGGACATGAAGCATTCAAATAGTAGATATCTAGACAATAATCATAGCAGCAATAATCATAATTATCTCAATGATGATAAGAATAATGAGAATAGCAAGGTACTACAAACACTTAGACAAACAATGTAGGTCGTGTTTTTGCTTGTATTATACCGTCGTTGATTGGAGCGAACTGATCGGTCTCTATTGGCATATGGACTCCTGTGCGGATACCTCGATATTAAATGTTTTCTAATTATAGTAATGATGGATAGTAGCTACAAGTGGCATTTAGGACGCGCATTTCGTCCCATTTGGAGCTCGTCAGCTGGATATACCTACCTCCCAGTGAGTGTTGTTGTTCTTACTGGGATTTGGTCTAGGGACTGACCACTTCAAACGCTAGAGCGTTATCCAGTACACCACCGGTGTAGGTAAAAGTGTATTAAAATAAAATTTAAGTAATACTAAAGCATGAAATGTGTAGGTAATCAAGGTCTAAGCAAACAAAGATATGTGAAAGGAGTGGAGAAAGGGAAAGAGGATGAAAACTGAATATATCTTTGAAGTTATCTATTAGGTTTTCTCTGGCCAAGGTAGAGACAAAGACTGCGCAAACATTTCCTGCACACAAAGACTAGGTTTGTTTTCCTTAACTCTCATAGCCTCAGCAATGTGTAAAATGCGCGTGCGGATTCCATTCGAAAGGTTGTGTGGAATCCGACAGATTATTTTGAACGCTTCTGTTTTGTCTACGACTGAGAGCGACATAATTAGATTTTGTCTTGACTTCACCTGATTCTTTCCTAGCCATGACGGTGGGTGCTCAGCAATGCGTTTTTTAAGCTGTCTAATGCAGGTTTCAACACAGTAGGAGATGAAGTGATAAATGCGGATTGAAGTGGCAGAACTAGGTGGGTTGTCTTTCATCTGAGCAACAATTATCGGCCGACTAGAAAATGATAAGCAACGGTTAGCAACATAGAAGATTCTTCTGGTGGCTGTAGATAGCCTGTGAACTAGAACTTCACCAAGTACGTCTTCTTTAAACTTGAGCTACATGAATTATTATTTCTTTTGAACAATCATTTGTTCTGATTTCTTACTTGTTTTGTTTATGTGTCTCTTGATAAAACTTTGGGGGTAATCCACTTCTAGCAGCATATTATGGATGTGTTCTAACTTTTTTTTACCAAGTTATCGGAAGAGATGCTACTGGCTCTGCTTGCAAGAAATTTAATCAAGCTTCTTTTATATCGAATGGGCAAAAAGATAAGGAAATGTATGTACTGACGGTAGATGTGATCTTTCTGCATACTCTTCTACTGAGTGACCAATCCTCTCTTCTAATCAACAAAACATCTAAAAAATGGAGCATACTTTCCTGTTCTAATACACAAACGAAAGCGATAGGATGATGTAAGACACTGAATTTTCTTAACAATTCTTTTTTGTTGAGGTTTTTATCAAGGACAATGAAAGTGTTGTCAATATAACGTTTATAAATATGCAGATTGCCGATGATATCCTTCAGTGATCTATCCTCAAGTTTAGCAAACAAGCAGCGTATATCGAATCTAATGGTGAACTCATCGAAATTCTATCAGTTTGCCTGCAATATGTATCATATAGGAGAAAATGTATGCCCATGGTGTATCTCAGAAGTAATTGTTTGAGACTATCTTTTGAAAGTTCATCGTTAATCGATGTTTCTGATATCTGCTGACAAAAGAATTCTACTGTTGTGAAAAGTGATACACTGGTCCACAGAGAAGAAACATCTAAAAATGTCATATGTTTCCTTCGCATATTCACCTTTTCTAAATTGGAGATGAACTCGAATACATCTTTGACACCATGCCTTACATCTTGTTTGAGCCGAACAAGCTGGTCGGGGTCAGTCAGATCATCAGAGAACATAGACATTTAGCCAAGTATAAAATGACAGACCCGAATAAGATCAATAATCTAAAAAAAACTCGGCTATTCCAATGTATGCAATAACACAACCATACAATAGGGTGGGATAAAGCCACTGTACTTTAGTCCAAAATAATTAGGTGGAGAGAGAGATTTTCGATAGCGTAATTAGAAGACGAAGTTTATCTAAACAATGTGATGCATCTGAGCAATACATTTCGAACAATCTGATTACACATTTACTTTTCAAGTCAATATATATTGAACCGAGGAGTGGCAGGACAAATACAACAGTTAACACAATGGGGGATTGGAATTAAGAAAGATGGGAACAAACAGGAGAGGGAGATTGATTACTGATTTTTCCTTATCCAATCAACACACAACTTATGCAATAGAAATGACGCAACACCTACACTAGAGATATAGAAAATTTTGCTGCCAATAAAAACAACTCAGTTGAGGTGGGAGGACTATAAAAACCATATGTCGAAAGTAGTGTGATCACATTGGTATAACTGTGAAAAGTGATTTATGCTTGAAACATTGTCAAACAAATAATACCCTATCACTGTGTGGTATACCAGATGAACAAAACTAATAGGAAACTACATTCTACCATAGTGCCCTAGTTTTACGCTTATAATGATAAAACTTGAGTAGCTTATCACTAACGATGTGTGACAACAAAGATCATGATTCTGTTACAATGCTTGCAAATGGATTCAAAACTTCAAATATGCGGTGGACTGGGACTTAAATTCACTTGATTTCAGTTATGTTTCACAAATATCCACTGTTGATTTTCATAGGACCTCGTAAGGAATCGCATCAGACTGGGATTAGAACAAGAAAAGAGTACAGTATTCGTCAGTTTAAAAAATGATATCACTTGATGAAACCCCCGACCAGCTGCTATAGATTTGTGAGAAGGTCTAGCAACAGCAGCTACAAAGTGTAGGAAATCAATAACTAACCAAATTTATACTATATGATTGAAAGTTGATGATTTACACCTGTTTTGTACTGAGTATTTTTACTGTTACTTTACATTCTTTATTTTGTGAGGTTTATTGATTTTTTATTAATATAGGTGTAAAACTTGGGCACTTTGGTAGAAATTATTTCCATATCAGATTTGTTTATTTGATTTATAACACATAGTGATCTAGTTTTATTTACTTGATGACGTTTCGAGAATAAATTATTGCTCATAATCATATCAATGTAATCACACTACTTTCGACATTTGATTATTATAGTTATGTCATCTTATATGAGTTGTTTTTATTGGTAGCAAAATTTCCTGTATCTCTGGTATAGGCGTTGCGTCATTTCTATTACATGTTGGGTGTTGATTCGATAAACAAAGATTCAGTAATTGATCTCTCTCTCCACCTAATTATGTTGGACTAAAGTACAGTGGCTTTATTCCACCCTATTGTATGGTTGTGTGTTATTGCATACATTGGAATAGCCGAGTTTTACCCCAGATTATTGATCTTATTTAGGTCTGTTATTCTATATTTAGCTAAATTCCTATGTTCGGCTATTTTAACTGACCCCGACTGTTTAGTTTGACCTATGTACTTGACCTCATAGTCATTACACGGGATTTGATAGATTAGATTATTTTGCTTAATTGGTTCTATCTGATCCTTAAGCCGACAAAGTTTATCTCTGAGTGAGTTTGTAGGTTTAAATGCCGCCCTAATTCCAGCTCTGTTGAGGATTCTACATTGGGTTTTTGAGGTACCCTCCTTATAGGGTAATACAATGGAGGCTCTGAACTCCTTTTTACTCGTGTTGTCGTTATTAGTCGCACTTGTGTGACTGTTATTTTTTCTTTTTTTGTGTGTCCGTAAGAATTTCTTAAAAAACTGCGGAAGATAATTATTAACTATTAGCTCTTCTTTTACGTGTTTCAATTCGTTGTTTAGATCTTTGCACTGACTGGTCAGTTTTCTAGCTCTATCATTTGGACATTTGACGAATCCTGCCTTAACTGATATTGGGTGGGATGGTTTGAAGTCTAGATACCTGTTGGAATGTGTTGGTTTTCTGTAGACGATAGTATCCAAGCCACCGTCTGTTCTGCATTTTTTTCTGCAGATTGCAGAAAACTGATTAGACGATAGATTAAATCAGAACATCATTGTACCCTGCCTGACTATCTTTTCAGAAGTTGCTTAAGGTTGTTACAAACTCTATGGAAAATGTTATGAGCTGACTGTCGAACCCCATCCTGCTAACTTCACTATATGTTTTAAAATGAATATCTGGCCTTTATAGAATATCCTCGCAAGAAGCCTAATTATACATCTACAGTTTAACCAATAAAATGAAGTGAAAAGAGCTTATAGTATATTTCATTTAACGTTACGTAACCGGTGGCAGTCGAGAGGTAGCTTTCTTCAATAAAATGAATTCACAGCCCCAATAAAATGACGTACACTCACCAAAAGCCAAAATTTTCCACTCATTTCTCCATTCACAGACTATATCATTAAGCTTCTGAGAATTACTAGTACTTTCTCAACGTAGCAAAATCTTTTCTGGTCAATTCATCACTGCTGCCGACCTTGAGGCCGATGTTTCTAGTCTTGCTTCAATCTTAGTTATCTTCCAATTTCAGTAATCACTTTTTATATATAAGACAAACATTTCGATTAAATATCAATAAATTTTGTTTTTACTTACAAAATCTGGACTTCTCATTCTAATTTCCAATGGTTCCCATAAACATGGCTTTGAGTAGTGAAGATAGTTTAAATTACCTGGTAGTGAAGCACCAATTACTTTGGGCTTTTCATAAGTTGGTAAAATTAGTAAATCATCTTGCGGTGGCTTTTTCAACTTCTCAATATTTGGATCAAATAAGTCTAACAATTGAGTACCCAGCTGAAGTAGTGAAAATAATGAAAAGTATAAAAAGACAAGGAGAAAAGGAAGTAAGGAATTACTTCCCGGTGTTATTTGCATACTGTAATGTGGACGTATATTGAGGTTTATGTGACCTTATTTCTAAGGTATTATTGAACAACCATTAAAACCTGAGAGTACTGAACAGCACTCTCACCCTAGTATGGGGTTTCTTAATAGTACTCACCCACGGTTCCACCAGTGATCGAGCTCAAAGCCTTCACTTTTTATGGCAAACGCGTTAGCGATTTACCCACTGGGTTGGTGTTCAGCGGTCCACAGTTTCTTACTTTTGTTAACTCACGATGCAGCATGATTATAACCCATAGTCTTCGGTTGGTATCCTCTTTGTTACTAACTGGTTAACCACACAGATCACGGTTTCTCTTTAGAGCTTTGGAATATCCACCTGAGAGCATGTCACTAATAAGAACTATACGGTAATGTTTCCAATGGTTCTCCAACTGACGTCAGTTTGTGATGTTATGGTTACCAAAAGAACCAATAAAAAAGCAGTGCCTTACAGTTAGGAGTCCTATCGTTTGATAAACTAATTGAGATAAAATTAAATGTAAAGTGAAATAATACAAATACATCGTTTGTTTGTAGTTCTAAGTTATTTCCTTAAGCATTTTCACCTAGTTTCACAAATTAAGATCTCTATGGTCGTGTTAGAAATTATCTTTGCCAAATTTTTAACAAAGACCGAAAAACTATTATTTTTTAAATTAGTGCTTGGTAAAAATTGAAATGTAGCATATTAACTGTATATATTGTGGGTTACGTAACTTACCATCTGTTCAGTACAAGATTATTCAAAGTAAAATAAATTAGCAGTTACTTGATATCTAAACATTTTAGTAATGATATTTTTCTATAGATGGAAGGCTGAATTTCTAAAAGTGTCATTCTAGTCGAAGAAACTATTTCGGCAAAAATTGAAAATTTTAGAGCCGTGTTAACTACTAAGACTTCAGGGTAATGAAATCGTGATAGAATGTATAACAGTAAGTCTGATAGGACAAATTTATTTATTCAATAGATTATTCATAATAATTTTGAATGAGTTCAGCTATATATTCATTCAGTTGCGTTTCTACAGTCGTTTTATCCCTGCTCCCTTCCTCCCCCCCCACCAAAATGGTTAACCAAATAGTTTATATAGTTGTTCACTAGTTGTAGTTTTTCTTGACCTTCAGGCTTCCATTCAATGAGTTAATAACATTAGTCTCTTACAGTAGGTGGTGTTTGCCCGTTGATGCACAAGTCTGTACATTATGCTTGAATTGCAGTCCTTTCCAAAACGTTGAGAGAAAAGTTCTTTTGATGGTTTTTAGTGAAATTCACATTGGACACTTGTTCAATCCTGTCCAAATAATGGGTTTATAAGCGAAGCAATGACAGACTTCAAATATTAGAGAAGTTAAAATGACTCTGCAGACCAGATTAAATGGTATAAATCGTAGGGCATTGCTATAAACTGCTGGAAATTAGTCATTTTAACAAACCAGATCAAACAAAAAATACGATTACTTTTCATAGCAGTTCCAGTCACCGCTTTATATAGGCTGCAGAACCACTAAACATCTGGCACGATGGAATACCTACCGTAGTTTGAAGCTCAACATCAGTGATCACCCACAGCCCTTGATGGTTCGTGCCCATGACCCTTGGCTCTTATAGCATGCGCTTTGCTGTTTGGCCGTTTAGTTGGAATACAATAGTTTGAGTTTTCGAATTTTTTTAAATTAGTGATAAAGCATGACCCACAGTTGTTTTATCTTTGAGTATGCGTCCCTAAATTCCTACCTGAACGATGATATGGGTCGTAGTTTTCTCTGAAACCTTCGAATAATCTATCTCGAAATAAGTCAATCGAGTACACTTTGTTTCAACAGTTTATAATTAGCAAAAATTAGAAACTGAAGGGACTATTTGAGCTGGTGTTTATGAAACCCGAGTCGTCTTTCGACAGTCTAACCATGATACGGACATGATAACCTTTATAAGCCATTCAGTTGAGATCGTAGGCTGCAATTTGCAACACTGAAATATTCTGCCCTAATGACGGAGACAGATGGCCAGTATTTAGATCGCTTTGGTACAGCTAGTGGTTAATGTGGATTAGTATGATTTCGAGCTACCCATGATATCCATAAAATGAGATCATTGATCACTAGATAAATGTACAGAAAGTCTAATACATTAGATCAATTAGTCTTACATGCTGTCCAACTTCTAGACTATGTGCAATTTCATGCCTCCAAAAGTCGTCATAATAAATACGCTTGAATTTTGTTATCGGACCAGCAGCGCGTATTGAAGGATCATTTGTATGAAAATTGGTATCAATCACCAAACGTGAATCAAAGACTAGACATGAATCATTCAAGGCTATTACATTGAAAAAGAATAGAAATAAAATGAATTGAAACTTAGTTTTTGATTTCATCTCCAGTAAAAATAGCTAACAATGTTAATCGACGAGTAGACAGTCAGATTTATTTAATATTTTGTCATAATTTATATTTGTTTAGCGTTTATTTTTAAAAACGTTCGATTTGATTATCTGTCTAACAACAAGGTAAGTCGCATTTCCCCTTCAAACTAAATTTATTAGCGATCCTGATCACTTGTGGTTATCGATAGGTTCATGGTGAAAAATGTTTACAATTGACATAAAACTGACTTGAACCTGACCCACTTTATTCCCTTAATCCTATGCTTCAGCCATAAATATGAATAATCGTTCCACTAGAAAAATGTGCTTGAGTTATGGTTGCAAATGCACATTCAAAATTTCTTGTAACTTTGACTTTTCATTAAACAAATTGATCACTTATTCTTGTTTTTATCCGACTTCAGGGGAGACCCTAAAAGTTCACTGTAGCAAATACACCCTTCATACTCACAATATCCTTCAGCCTCGCTAACTTTTTATTACAAGGCATCATAATGAAGTGACCAACCAGGTTTCATTACTCTGACTGTGAAGGTAGTTTTTTCTAGAAATATTAGCCAGGAAGTTTTGAGCTCATTTTTATTGGATTTAATAGTTACTCACTTATTTTCTAGTTTGATCTTATAAGGAAACTTTTATAAATATTCTACAATAAAATTCAGACTAGAAAGTAAGAAACATACTTCACTGGTAGATGGCTGTTGATTTAAAGTAGTAAGGTGTGGAATAGTGATGAATAAACTAATATGAAACTTTGTGGAACGTCATTTTAGAATAACAACAGTAATCCTTTTGGCTAACAGTGTCCCAGAAAGCCCCTAGAAAAATCAATACTATGCTCTAACTCTGCAATGCAGTTTGATTTAAATTTGTATGATAAGTCATGGCTAGGCTGTTAGTTTGATTACAACGAACTGACAGTTAGGCATTGTCCAGTTATATGAGAGTCGGGTGAATTGAAGTTAATTCTTGATTGGTGTCTCAGTGTCGTAGCTCAGATGATTTCAAACGACGGCAGCTACCTTTAAGCGGTAGTCAGGCCTCCTTATCACAACAATCCAAGGAGCTACACCGGCTGAAACCCCTGTCTTGTGAAAGTCTTACAATGCATAAAAGGTCTGTTGGATAGTGGTTAGACAGGAAGCGGTCACAGCTGAAGTGTTAATTGCTAGGCTACGGTACGGGTCCAAGGGTGAAGTTGTACTACCGGCCAGATGGGGTGTGACAGCAGCAAAGTGTTTCCTTTGGATGATCAGCTGTGCCATGCTGATGCTGCTTTCTCAATAAGAAGGGGGGTTAGAAAAGATTGCCCGCTAAAATAGAACACTCCTTACTATTTCATGACCGTCCAATGCCGATGGTGTGAATTTCCTCTAGCTGGTGTTAGAGTAATCTGATCTCATACTGACATTCATGAAACAACTGTGTGTGACAACCTTAACGCGGATATGCCATGGACTATGCAGTCATACAACTCGTTTTCTCTTACAAATACCTTAAGAAGTAATCTACCAAGATGTGGGGAGCAAACGTGTCAACCACCCGCATGCTTTCAGTAGTGTACAGGACCAAATCAAAAACAACTTTTCCTACTCAACGTTGTCTTTTCACCTGTCTTCACCTTCTGAAACTAATATTTAGCCTCCTAAATGTTTCTCAGCTTCTCACTCTTCTATCATTGACAACGATCGCAACCACTGAAACCCAACTCCTAGTCTCTTAAGACCCCGTTATCAGCGATAGGTAACACCTGGCAAAATTTTGGGCACATTTGGGATGGCACACTGAAAACCTCACAGGACAAACAGCTAGAACGCTGGGGGGAACACTTTGAGTCATGGCTTACCTGGCCCACAGCAGACCTGTAGTTGCCCATCATCCATGCCTGACATGAATGGGGCGCAGATGTCAATCCACCAACACTTTTCGGAGTCGAGAAATTTGTTTCAAACCCGAAATGTAGCAGAGAGGTTAGATCTGACGGTCTGCCACCCGACGATTTTAAAAATGGGAGTGGGGAATTGCTGATTAGAGTAGCGAAGGTACTAGGTAGTGTACGGAGACCAGAATTAGTTCCACTAAAATAATCAAATTGACTGGTCATCCCAGTCCATGAGAAGGAGGAGACGTCTCCGTATGACAAACATAAGGCAATCAGTTTGAATAACATCCTGTCGAACCTCGCCTGCTTAAATAGTTCACTAGTTACTAACCGGTCCTAAGCCTCGATAAAGAGTGAAGGTTGGCCATAGGGCTAGCAACCCTACTCCGTAAATCCAATCCAATCGCTAAAGAAACTTCAAAGCACAAACAAGATATAAAAAATAAAAACAAACTTATTCCTTGCTGGAATAGGGGAGATGAAATGACGCCGGTTGGTGAAAGCCTTCGGGAAACCAATTGGCCGGTGTCTTCTCTCGATGACAACGAAAGTAAACGTGGGGACATGGAATGTCCGCACTATGGTCGAACCCAGCTAAGCCGCCCAGACTGCAAAGGAGATGAGAAGGTATAATATTGGAGTGCTTGGAATCTGCGAAAGCAGGTGGGATGGAAGTGGACTCTCCAAACTGTCAACAGGGGAGCCAATAATCTACTCGAATTTCGCCACCCATATTACAACCGCGAGCACACTGAGGAAGTGGCTACCATGATATCCCCAACAGCATCAAAGGCTCTCACACAGTGGGAACCAATCTCCTCCTGCAGGATCATGACAGCAAAATTTAACTCGAAAGGAAGGAAATTCACAATCATTCAATGCTACGCACCTACAAATAATACAAATGAAGAGAAGAAGGAGTCCTAAAGACAACTGCAATCAACACTGGACAAGACTTCAGTTGGTGACATCAAAATTCTAGTGGGTGGCTTGACATGAATGCCAAACTCGGAGTGGATAACACAGGAAGTGAACTAATTATTCATGGGTCGAGAAGCACTCGGTGAAAGGATCGGGAATGGATTATCGTTTGCAGATTTCTGCGCATTCGACGATTTGGTGATTGAAGGAAATGTGTACAAGCACAAGGATATCCACAAATTGACATGAATTTCACCGGACATTAGACACACTAAAAGTCAGATAGACTTCATCTCAATGTGAAGAAAGAGGGGACGCAGTCTATTGGACACAAGATCAAATCGAGAAGAGGAGCGGATATAGGTTCACACCATTCATTATCTAGTGCAAGCAACCTTCCAAATGAAGTTGAAAGCCTACAAGGAAGTTGGTGATAAACCACAATTCAAGTTTAACACTCACCTAGAAACTGAAAGACGGAACAACTACAAAGGACATCTTCATGTCAGTCATCGGGAAAAAATGGCAGACATTGAGCAACATTCCCGCAGGAACGGGGGTGAAAGAACACTGGAACTCTTTGGAAGAGAAGTGAAAACAAACATGTATGACCGTATTAAAAAGAAAGAGGAAGTAGACAAGGAATAGATCTCGACGGACACATAGAAACTGATAGAGCAGGGAGAGGAAGATGGTGAAGCAGAAGATGAACCAGTGCAGTGCAGTGCAGATATGCAAAACGAAAAGAAGAACTGAACACAACGTATAAAATACTACGCTGGACAAAAAGTGAAGAGGAGTGCATGCAAAGACAAAAGACACTTCTACGACACACTGGCAAGTGAAGCAGAACAGGCTGCTTGTAGAAGAGTCAGAGACCTGACAACACTGTATCAAACAACCAGGTTTCTGTCTATTATGGAAGAGATCAACACATATGAAACCAATAAAAGATGAAGGAAATTTAATTACCAAAGAAGAGAAACAAAGGAAACGACGGACTGACCACTTCAAAAAGCTCTTCAATCGACCATCACCGCCACCTGCACTTCGTCCAGAAATAACACCTGCAGCCACTGAACTACAAGTGAACATAAATCCTCTAACGAAAGTCGAAGTCCTGAGTGCCATAAAGCTACTGAAATGTGGGAAAGCAGCAGGACCAGATGGAATCCCACCAGAAGCATTGAGAGCAGACGCAGAGACAACAGCGGACATGCTCACACCACTATTGCAGAAGGTGTGGAAGGAAGGTAAGGTACCTGGCGATTGGAAGAAGGGTTACCTTGTCGAACTCCTGAAGAAAAGAGACCTCAGTGTTTGCAACAACTGGAGCGGAATCACGCTCCTGTCCACCCAGTGCAAGCAAAATATTAAGCCGCATCATCTTGGAGAGACTAAAAGATGCACTGGATTCAGAACTACGACCCGAACAGGTAGGCTCGATTCAGGAAATACAAATCATGTGCAGACCAAATTGCAACGCTTTGCATCATCATAGAACAGAGTATAGAATAGCAGTCAACTCTCTACCTCAAATTAATCGACTTTGAGAAGGCCTTTGACAGCATCGACCGAGAGGTAATTTGGAAACTGCTTCAACACTATGAAATACCACAAACCTTTATCAACCTCAATCAACAATTATATGGAGACGCCACATGCCGAGTAATTCACAGTGGGAAGCTCAGTGATGTCTCCGAAGTGAAGACGGGAGTAAGACAAGGCTGCCACCTACTATCACTCATGAGATTCCTGATTGTAGTGGACTTGATCATGCAGCAAATAGTGAGGAGCGAGAAGAATGGTACACGCTGGCTGAACCGGCAAAAAGACCCTAGAACATTTGGATTTCGACTATGATGATTTATGTTTAATGTCGCACAAATCTGAAGGTCTACAGGCAAAACCTAACAGGTTGACAGAAAGGACAGAGAAAATGAGACCTCAAGTGAATGTAGAGAAGATAGAGGTGATGAAGATACTTCACCAACAACAACATCAACAACAAGCACCAATCACCATTAACGGGAGAAACCTAAACGTAGTAGTCTTTCACCTACCTCGGTAGGCAGCAGCGTTTCAACTATAGGCAGCACAGATGAGGACGTCAAAGCAGCCAGGGTCGGA